CATTCCTGTACATCTTCGGCAGGTCAATTCCTAAAACCAGTTATCTTCTCTTTTTTCAGGCTGTACCAGATGGGTTGAAATTGATATCAGGTGATCACCTTTTTTAGACAAGTAAAAAGGCATATGAGCATGTGATCATGTTTTCTCATACTCATGTGGTGTATAGGACATAGAAAGAGAGTAATGCAAACAGACAGGACAAACATTCAATATATGTCTCTCATCGCCTTCCCATCAAATACAGAGTAGTAGATGGTTTGCTCTGACACAAGAAAAAAAATGACAGACTTAATACAGAGAACTGAGGAAATGCCTCTACCTCTTCCTCTGCTGAATAAAACTGGCGACGGATTAATTTGAGGGCTCAGTTCTTGGATGAGTCATGTTACAGGGGAAGTCTTCCAAGCAAGAATATTGGCTTCTCAGCTTCATGGTGGTGACAAGTTGTCGGAGCTCGGAGGTTTCCTCTTTGAGCTGAGCGTTTTCTTGGAGGACACAGTCATGGCTTTCTGAGACCTGGTTCAGTTTATTTATGAGCTGGTGATTCTCGTTCCGGAGCCAAGCCACCTGTGACAGGAGTTCATCTAGGTGTCTTTGCTTTCGCATTCTTGATCTTCGTGCAGATTCTCTGTTAGATATCATGCGTCGCTGCTTTCTCTCATTGATGATGCTCAGTTGCTGCTCATCTGCTTCATCAGAAGTTGAGTTGTTGCTGAAACATGGGGACTGTAGGTTGAGTTCCTGAACTTGAGGGTTGAAACTGAAATTGCATGAAGGATTCAGGTACTGGTTTAAGTGAAATTCTTGCATGTTGTTGTTGCTTATTGTGCTAAGATAAGCTGAGTGAGGAGATGAGCTTGAAGGGACGAGGTAATAAAGCTCTGAAGCATCACTTGGCTGCATGATTGATGATGAAGATGCTGAAAGGTTTTTTTTTTTTTGGCTATGTTTTTTTGTTTGTTTCTCTAGCGCAGAGAGCTTGGGTGGCAGAGGCTGGAGGAGAAGGGCTATTATATACTGCAAGAAAGGTGAATAGGACCCACTGTTTGCAAATTGGTGGCCTTAGTGACATATGCTTAGATTGCTTTAGGAAATCATTCGGATCATGTCTGCATATCCTTGTGGCATGATGTTCATGCATGAGAAAGCATGGCCATCTGATGGCTCATAAGGCTACTTTTATCATCATATGCATACCATAATACCATGGTCTTATATATTGATGCATATACAAGAAGACACAACAGCATCTGCTGTGGATAATCATTTTCTTGGATCAGAATTATGCTTACATCAGAGAGAAACTTGTGTGGTTATTGTTGTGGGGTTACAATAATTTTGATTTTGGAAATGCTTTTTTTTTTTCCTGGCTAAAGCAAGCAATGATAATGTGGTGACGCCCAGGAAGTCAATCTATAAAGCATGCCTTCTTTGTTAATTCTGAGACCACCTCCTGCTGCCTTTTTTTTTCCTTTTCGACAGTGGCTTAAGCGGGAAACAAAGGTTTATCGCCCGGACCATTTCGGGTTTTTGCTCAATCCATACCATCAGCATCTCTCTGAGGTATATCGGACGAAACTTCCTGTGTTGAGAACAGTTGTCTAATATTTGCTTTTATATGTCAAAGAGGTGATCATCCCTCAAAAAATTTCAACCCTGCATGCATATCGTGCATGTAGAACATGATTTGTTTTCAGCATCCACGGAATTCTACTTTGAACTCTGTCTTCAGGGTATAGTTTTTTGTCTTCATGGATCACGCTTGTAAACAAAAAGATGTTGCAAGAAGCTACCAGGACAGGACCTTACTTCCACGAGAGTAATTGGAACTAAGGGAAAGGTGTTAGGCGGGCTTGGCTTGTCTTCTTCTGGTGTCCAAATCTTAGCCGGTTTATTATATTCCATTTGCAAAAAAGGCGACTTCTTTAAATTATGTGCATGTACATTTTACATATATATATATATATATAATTTTAGATCTTAGATCTTGTCTTTGTATTTATGTCACAAGCTGTGTATATGTATTTGAATATAACATTCTGCAATGAAAACACCTATGGATGAATTCCCGTTATATTTTTATTTTTGCAACTAGTTATCTAGGACCAATACCTAGACTAATCGCACGGAGTCAGAAGTCAATCATGTGATTTGGATTATACTTTCTTTTTCTAGATTTGAGGTTCGAATTCAGAACGAAACAAATGTTTTGTACCTCGTTTCACCGATTCAACTGTCCAAATTTGGGTAATTCTCGTTATGTTAACTCCTATTTTGTTTGTTTTTTTTTAAATAACTTAATTTTAATTTATCATTGTTCTTCTCCGTTAAGCAAACTTAGGGATTGTCAAAGGAGATTATTTTGTTTAAAAAATTTTCTGTGGAAAAACAGAGTGATGTCATGAGGGTCCTTTTGATTGGTGGAATAAGGATAAGACACTCAACCATTGAAAGTTTTGTGCATCATCACATCTTCGTCTTTTAAATAATTGTTTTTCATTTAATTTATTATTATGTTAAATTAATTGATATTGTTTTATCATAGGGAAAAAGACATTAGGAACCCATAATTTTGGCTAAAATAATAATTATAACTTTTTTTAAGATTTAGACTTCTATTCATATCAACCCCATTGGAAACTAAAAAAAAACACTGCTATGGTCCTCGGCCACAAAAAAAAAAGTTTGAAAATCACGCTCCTTTTACATTTTATTATCTAAAAAAATTCGGTATAGTTTTCCAATCGTTTTGCATTTATTTTTAGTGAAAGATGTTTTGCGTCTTTCATTCAACAATTGTATACGGATTGTCTAACAAGTTTTTTTTTTAAAATAAATATACTAATGTGAATTATAGTATTGTGCATATGATTATTTTTCTTAGTGTGTGCAGTTAGTTGATAAAATAATATAATGGTGTTGTTTAATATTTTAATCCCATTATTATTATTAGAACTTTTAATTATTATTATTAAAATAATTAAAAAAATTAATCAAGGTTGGACCATTTTTTCTTCTAGTTTAATAGAAGGATGTGGATAGAGACCAATAATGTGCTTACGTACTTCTATTAAGGTCGTGTTCCACTACCAATCTATATATGGATTAATATTTACCAATGATCTTCATCATTACAACATGAGTCTTAATATTGTTATCACTAATTTTATTAATTTAAAAATGCCACTTGGCATTGCCTAATTCGATATAAATTAGCTTTATCGTGTATATTCCATTGTTTTATTAGTTTTTTTTGTTTTGGTGTATGTACCAAATGTGATATTTGATTAAATAAAATTATCAAGACAAAAATGGTAAAACTAATGGACCAATTTTCTTAATACCTAACGAGACAATTGTCCCAATCGTAAGAATTTTAGGTATTGTATTGTAAGTCAAGATCATCAATCATATATATGTGTGTGTTTGTTGTGTAATATTAAATTATTTAATCATTAACCATATATTTATAATATGTATAAAATTCGGATTTTTTTTATTAGGGTATGTAAAATCGGCACGGTGAAAAAAAATAGAAACACTTCAAGATCCTTCTTATCCAAAAGACACACACATATATACATATATATATATATATATATATATAAGGATACTATCAGATCCACAACTCCAAGAGTATAAAATAGCCACCGAATGTCATAAACCAAAATAGGAATATGTTGCATTATCACATTATGGAAACTAAGTTGCAGCAAAATATTCATTAGAGATAATTAGGATAGAGCTTTTTCTATGTGGGCGTTGGTGGAGATATACAAGCAGCTATCATTCGGAAATACAAATGGAGAGAGAGAGAGAGAGAGAGAGAGAGAGAGAGAGAGAGAGAGAATCCTAAGAGACATAAAGTGGTGAAGTCTAGGATGTTTTGAATGATTGAAGTTAATAATAATGATAATATTCCCAATACGAAGAAATTTCAATTGCCATTACTAAAATTAAATTTGGATGTGATTTTCAACCGGCAAAATTGCAAAAATAACCCCAAATGTCTATCTTGACTTCAAGGGGATGACCCTCTAGGTTTAGGGTTTTCAAAAAAAAAATTAAAATAACCAAAAAACTAGTTTGCCCTTAAAAAATTGAATACGTGACAACTCTTTATGTAATGAAAAAAAAACATTCGAAAAATTTAATCTCTCACTTTTTTTAAAAAAAAATTCAAAACGCATTTTTTTCTTTTTCTCTCCAAAGAGATTTCGTTGGCGATTCTAACAACAAATTTTTCAATTTTCGTCTTATACTCGACATATTTCTCTACTATGACGAGATCTGACATTTCAAAGTTGAAGAATTTGAGAATGCATGGAAAGTGTTCGATAAAAATCCTCAGAAAAATTTTGGCTCTTAAAACGTCATACTGGTCATATCGGTCAGACTTTGGTCATACCGATTAGATTTTGGTCAGACGTTCACAATTTAGTCAGTCGGTCACACTTTGAGTGAATATGACTTATGTTAAGAGATTTTTTTATACATGGAATTAGATCATTAAAACGATGAAATGTATTTTTGTAATCTGTATACAACTTTTTGAATCGTTTAAACTTAATTTAGACCTTTATTTTTCGTGTAAAAAAAATGGTCATACCAAACACACTTTGATAAGACGGTCAGACATTAGTCATACAGTCAGAATTTGGTCAGACGGTCAGACTTCTTAAAAATTGATGAATTTATCATTTTAAAAGTGTTAATATGATATAGTAATAATCTCATATAACACATTTTTTAAATTTAAAATCGGTCAGACGGTTAGACTTTGGTCAAACCGATGATACTTTGATGAGACGATCAGACTTTGGTCATACAGTCGGACTTTGGTCATACCGATCATATTTTGATCATATCATTAGACTCGTCATAGGATTATACGAGTCAGACTAGTCAGACTTTTTAAAAAATGATGAATTTATGAATTTAAAAGTGTAGATCAAACATATTCTTTCTTATATTGAATTTTTGGCTTATTAGGGTTTCACTTCGATTCGATTCGAATGAACAATATCATTTAAGCTTACATTCGTTCAAACTTTTCCTCTAGAACGAGATCCGACACACCAAAGTTGAGGAATTTGAGAATGTATGGAAAGTGTTTGATGAAAATCCTCAAAGAAATTTTGGCTATTGAAATGTCACATCGGTCAAACCGATCTGATTTTGTTTATGGTGTCAAGAACAGCGATGTCATCAACAACTCCTTCCAAAGAGACCTAAAGTAATAGTAGTAGTTATGTAACACATTGAGTACAATTGATTTATGTCGAAAGATTTTTTTTCTACGTAAAATTAGAACTCCAAAACGATGCAAAAGTAATTTTATAATCCATATACAACTTTTCGAATCGTTTAGATTTAATTTAGGTATTTTTTTCGTACCCAAATGGTCAGACGGTCATACGGTCAGACGGTCATACCTTGGTCAGACGGTCTGACTTGTTCGAAATTTCATAATTCATCGTTTTAAAAGTGTTAATATTGTAATAATCACATCATATCACAAATATTTCAAGTTCAAATCGGTCGTAGCAATATGGATTGAGTATATTTTTTGTTTGTCAATGTATCTCATTTTAAAGAAGACCTAAAATAATAGTAGTGTTTACGTAACAAATTGAGTACAATTGATTTATGTCGAGAGATTTTTTTTTTCACGTGAAATTAGAACTCCAAAACGATGCAAAAGTAATCTTATAACCTCTATACAACTTTTTGAATCGTTTAGATTTAATTTAGGTATTTTTTTCGTACCCAAATGGTCAGACGGTCATACGGTCATACGGTCATACCTTGGTCAGACGGTCAGACTTGTTTGAAATTGCAAGATTCATCGGTTGAAAAGTGCTAACATCGTAATAATCATATCGTATGACCGATTTCTCTAGTTGAAATCAGTCGCAGTAATATGGATTGAACATCTTTTTTGGATGTCAAAGTAACTCTTTTCAAAGAAGAGCTAAACTACTAGTAGTGTTTGTGTAACACATTGGATACAATTGACTTATGTTGGTAGATTTTTTTTTTCCACATGAAATTAGAACTCCAAAACGATAAAAAAGTATTCTTGTGACCCTTATACAACTTTTCTAATCGTTTGAATTTAATTTAGGTCTTTTTTTTCGTACCCGAATGGTCAGACGGTCAGACGGTCAGATGGTCATACCTTGGTCAGACGGTCAGACTTGTTCGAAATTGCATAATTCATCATTTTAAAAGTGTTAACATTGTAATAATCACATCATATCACAAATATTTCAAGTTCAAATCGGTCGTACCAATATGGATTGAGTACATTTTTTGTTTGTCAATGTAACTCCTTCCAAAGAAGACCTAAAGTAATAGTAGTGTTTATGTAACATATTAAGTACAATTGACTTATGTCGAGAGATTTTTTTTTTCCACATGAAATTAGAACTCCAAAACGATGCAAAATAATCTTATAACCTCTATACAACTTTTTGAATCGTTTAGATTTAATTTAAGCATTTTTTTCGTACCCAAATGGTCAAACGGTCATACGGTCATACCTTGGTCAGACGGTTAGACTTGTTTGAAATTGCATAATTCATCGTTTTAAAAGTGTTAACATTGTAATAATCACATCATATCACAAATATTTCAATTCAAATCGGTCGTAGCAATATGGATTGAACACATTTTTTGTTTGTCAATATAACTCCTTCCAAAGAAGACATAAAGTAATAGTAGTGTATATGTAACACATTGAGTACAATTGGCTTATGTTGAGAGATTTTTTTTTTCCACGTGAAATTAGAACTTCAAAACGATGCAAAAGTATTCTTATAACCCCTATACAACTTTTCAAATCGTTTAGATTTAATTTATGACCAGTTTTGCAAGTATGACCAGTTTGACGAATTTGAGAAGTATGACCAGTTAGGAGTATGATCAGTCTGACAATTCCGATACGTATGTATGACCAGTTTCCTGAATTCTCCCGTTTTGATGAATTTCACAAATTTAATGATTTCGACCAGTTTAAATAACGTGAATCATGGTATTTCTGATAAATATATCATTTTTTTTATTCAACCCATATTCATATGGATCAAATATAAAGATGGAAAAACAACAAAGCAAAAATACTTATAAATGCTCAAATTTAATAACGAAATTTATAAACAATACTTTCATTTATTCAGATCAGTGTTTAATCGATGAAATGTCCAAACTTAATGTTATTTTTTCACAATAAATTAGCTGAAAAAGAAATGGAGATGAAGGCTCCAAACCACAGAAGAACGGTAGTTCGACAGAGGTGGGAGAGGAGAGAGAGAGGTGGGAGAGAAGAGAGAGAGAAGAGAGAGGAAAAAGATTTGTAATATATATTTTTTAATTTAATAATAAATTAAAAACAAATGGTATTTTTGGAAAGATACAATTATAAGGTTATGTGATGATGTTGTATTTTTTTTAAAGGTCAGGGTCATCCCTTGAAGTCAAATCGACAATTGAAGTTATTTTTGCAATTCTCCCTTTTCAACCACTTCTCCAAACACACAAACGCTCACAAATAATGATAATATACATTTGACTCCTTATTCGTCTGCATATCTTAGATCGATTTATTATTTTAACTCACTTTATTATATTTACTATTTTGAAAAACTATAAAAAGACCGAATTAAACCTTCAAATCGAAATATTTTAAAAAATATTCAAAAAAAATATATATTTTGATCAATTTTTCTGTTTTCGACATAATTAATAATATAAATTTATCACCACAAAAATAATTTTTAAATCAGAGTAAAAATTTAGGTTAGGTTTGAAATGGATAAATTATTAAATGCGATAGTTTTTTTATGTAACTTTGTTATTGGTTTATTTGGATAATTAAAAGTTAAAGATTTTTTTTTGAATGTATAAATTTAGTACATAAATCTACATGCTTTAATTAAAAAACATGCATTTGGACATATGTTAGGTTTAAATATCTTACTCACAGACTTGGCGGTTCTTTAGTCAATGAGTTAAATCTTATATATTCCATGTGGAATTGATCAAAACACATGGATCATCAATTGGTTAATCTGGATTCCCAGATTCAGTGGGCATCTGGGTTTTGCATAGAATTCATGTGTATACCAATATTATACAAATTCCACTCTGTGATTAAATTTTTTTTTGGTAACCGGATTTCCTGGGCCGGGGTCCAGACTAATCCCGGAGCCGAGAGCCAGCTATGTGATTTGAATTATGCGCTCTCTCCTCAGCCTGGGCTTCGAACTCGGGATGGAACAGACGTTTTGCGTCCCCGTTTCACCGGTTGAACTAACTAGATTAGATCTATGTGATTAAATATTCTCTGTGTGGAATGAGATAAATAAGTGGTGGTGAACCAAATGGGCATCCAAAGGCCACACAAGAGAAAGAAAGAAGGAAGAGGAAGAAACCAAACCACAATGAGAAAACAAAGACAAAACTGCTCAATGGTGTTTTCATTTGCCTCTTTGCTGGTGGAGAGAGAAACAGTGAAAATGACTTCTTGACTTTTTATTACACACTTGGGTAATTCACTTAAATATATCAAATGTGTCGCATGAATTTCACAGATACACCCAAGATGAACAGTAATTTTTTTTATTTCAATTTTATACCATTTTTCACTCAAAAAGTCTGAAATAACCTTTTTTCTATATTTTTTACGACTTTATTACAACTGTTATATAACTAATATACGACTAAAAAAAGAAGTATTTATGACCATATAACAACTAAAAATCGTATAACTAATAAGATATATTTTTTGCAACTTCATTTAGAATCAATTGCAACTGTATTTAGAATCAATTACAACTGTATTTAGAATCAATTGCGACATTGCAATTACAATTACACGATTTCATTAAGAGTATTACTGTCTTTTCAAAAAAAAATTAATGTGTTATGTTTTTTTGGGTGTATCCCTGAAATTCCTGCGACACTTTTGGTATATCTGTGTGATTTACCCCACAATTTGCCCATAAGAGGCGGATTAAGTGTTGCATTAAAAATATATATATATATACACCAAATGGGCAGTTAAGGTTTGGGGATTATTAAACAAAAACCAAAGTGGATAATCAACCAAGAGGGTGTAGACTTAAACTATTCTTTACTTTAGAGTCTTGGCTGCTCTGTTTATGCTTAAAGATATTTTCTTTTCTCTAATGAATCTGAGGAATAGCTCTGAAACATCTGAGACAAATAACCAAGTCTTATCCTGAAAATTTGTGTCCTGAAGTATAAACACTTAACAGAGAGAGAGAGAGAGAGAGAGAGAGAGAGAGGTGAAAGGCTACTTACAGACGTGAGAGTTTGGAGCTTCCTCAAGCTTCAATGGATGAAGACTGTGTAACCTCACAGTGCAAAATCTGCACTCTATGGACACAGGAAAATGACCTAAAGAAAAGGGTAATGCCACGTTCATCAAAGGTAGTAGATGCAAGGTCGGGACCATAACATTTTACAAAAAGGCTACAAAGGCTATGAGGGGTTAAGGACCTTTCAGACAAACAAAGGAGATGGGGTAATTCAAGCAAGCTTTTCTCTACACAGTTCATTATAAAAGCCTCACATGATGGTGGTGATTGTCTGATAAATTATTGACAACAGCATGTAAGTAGCAGTCGGTATCTGTTTCAGATGCAGTAAGCTACAAGAAAAATGTACAGAGAGGAAAATAAATAACAGCTAGACACAGGATGTAGATAGACTTCAGTTCACTATCATCAAATGCTGGATTTCCTGTCAAGTTCCTATCAGATGTAGAATACATAACATGCAAGAGATGGCCATGGTGTGCTCCACCTACAATGCTTATCATTCCAATACCAAAATTAGTATATTGAGAGTGTGTGTGTGTGTGTGTGTGTGTGTGTGTTTTATATAGGCAGAATCAATCCATCATAAGAAGAACTACGAGCCCTCGAATACCCAGATTGAGGAATGTATCCAAGAACAAGATATAGTATTGGCACAGACAAGCAGCTTTTATCAGCTTCAAACTCTGTCTTACTTCACGAGATGATCAACGATTATCCACGACCTGCCAAAGTTTAAAATCGAGAAAAGTAAGTAGCAGTCTTAGCATTGACAGAACAAGACAGTGTCGGGCAGAAGCATCAAAGAAGAAACTTTGAGAGTTTTTAGAACAAGCAGCAGCCCAGAGAGCTCTCTTCCACGTTACTCAAAAGGGTTACCTGTAGTTTGTATCAATGCTCCAATCCAATTATTGCATACCCAATTAAGGCAGAGCCCGTAGAAGCAAAGATAACTAATGATGCAAGAAGCTACGTAAATAAAACAGCTCATAACCTGAAACAGCGCCCAATGTATGTAAACACATCCCAAATCAGGAAGATATCACATTAAGCCTAACTAAATACAAAAGCATTCACAAGATACGGCTGCAAAAGGATTTCCTTCACAACAGGATATATACAACATATTAACCAGGAAAATATCACATTCATGACAGACAATTACCCAAGACAAACCAGTTCAGGAACTTGTTGTATCTGCTAGCAACCAATTACAACACTTCAAAATTCAGAAACCCTATCTACCCGACAGCTCTCTTGCCAAGCCACTGCCACTCCTTTGCAGTCTCCTAGCGCTTTCATACTCAGGGTCATCAGTAGGAAGCTCATGCCGGCAAACCGGGCAAGTATTCCTTATCCCCAACCATGGCAGAATACAATCCTCATGATAGAAATGCCTACAAGGAAGCCTCCTCACTTTCTCCTCAATGGCCATTTCATCCTTGCAAACAGCACAAACGATATCACCTTTCCCCAAATCATCCACTGTAAGTTCCACGAGAGGAAGATCCTCCACTACCCTTTTGGCTGCAGGTGGACTTCCGCTAATTCCAGTGTCAGTATCCAACATTTGCCCGAAAATAGCATCGAAATCTCCATGATTTTCACCATATTCATCAATACTAGCTAAATACATGTAGTAATTCGCATCAATATCATCAGCGGTAATGCTTATCCCTTCAGCTTGTTCTATATAATTCACAACATTGTTAACTGCTAATAAAACCTGCCAATCGAGATCGTGCTCGTGATCATCCCTGGATGAAATTCTGGACGACGAAGACAGTTCCTCCTCTTCTTCGGGTCTGTTAAGAACCCTAACTTCGACCGGCTCATGTGTCCAAGTGATCGCGTTCTGCACTTCCTCCCACTCCAGTTCTTCATTAGTCACGACGGCTTCCTCACCAAAGAAGCTGTCCCAAACAGGAGGAGTACCCGTACCATCGACGACCCGACCCGACGCGTTCGCCCCATTACCATCGTCGCTAGCATTCAAATCAAAGACACCATCTTCGAAGTCTGAATCCGAATCAATACCGGTTACGCGAAGCCCTTGCCCGCCCGAATCACCGCGCTGCTGATCAGACCCGGTTCCCGGCCCTAACCCGAGTCCCAGACCAAGCTCCGCCACGTCGTCTTCCTCCTCATCGGGAAAGCCCCATAGATTGAAATCACCGACAATCCGGAGCCCTGGATCCGGGTCCGAATAAAACTCCTCGACCGCGCCAACCTCGTAAGACTCGTCAAAGAAATCGATGAAAGAACCATCCGGATCGGGTCCTGCATCAGGACAAGACACGGAACCAGAATCGGAGTTGGAGTCGGAGAAGGGGTAATAAGGATTGCAAGCACGGCTGTCCGTTTGGTAGAAGACAGGAAAAGCCACAGTTTCACCATCCGTTTCGGAAACCGGTACTATGTCGGCTTGGTCTTCTCCATCGTCTTCAGGGCTTACGCCCGGAGGACCCGAAAGCTTCGCTGACGCCATTGTCGAATTTCCGAGACAAGATTACGGAAAAAGAAAAAAGATGCATACAAAATGACATAAAAGAATATACAGAAGATATATAATGTTAACAGTTTGTACATACACGCGCGGTGGGATATGCCACGTCAGATGAATACTGTAGGGAACAAGAAACGACGCCGTATTATCAAATAGAGAAAATAAAATTACGCCGTTGCCGGGGATCGAACCCGGGTCACCCGCGTGACAGGCGGGAATACTTACCACTATACTACAACGACTTTGATGCTCTGGATATGAGAAACATTGATAACTTTATAAAACTTTGTCTAAATAAAAAGTTTCAAAAGAAAAGGGTATAAGTTTAAAATACTGGCCCATGCAGGTTTCGAACCTGCGACCTTCGCGTTATTAGCACGACGCTCTAACCAGCTGAGCTAATAGGCCGTTTGATCAATCTGTCCTAGAAAATCTATTTATATGTAGTATTTCGGCATAAACATTTCACACGTTGGGGTGGGGGAGAGAGAGAACTAGAGGAGAGAAGATAGAGAAGATGCAGAATATCACAGGGAGCGAAATTGCGGGTTTCGCAGTGGGAGCTCTCCTTCTTGGCGCCACAGTCGCTGCTCCTAAAGTTGATGCTTTCATCGCCGCTTCTCAGAGAAGGTGATTTTCCTCCTCTTTCCATTCATTGATTCCAGTTCTGAGCATTTGTTACCTCTGTTTTTTCCTTTCCCAATCAATCCATACTGTATAGTTTCATATTTTCTCGGAATTTGGGATGAGCTAGTGGGGCTTGTCTCCATGATTTTATGTTTCCAGAGTTCTTGCCTAGATTCGACGAAAAAGGTGTTGAATTGATGACCAGGTGTAGCAAAAGACAACTCCTGCATGATTTCTAACGATTTTGAAGTTTCCAAATTTACACCCTTTGCGTCTGCGTATCAATGGGATTAGTCCCATCCCGAGTGTAATGTTTGTTCCTCCAATTGAGAGTTCTGGCAATATGTTATCTAATTGTGAGCTATGCAACGCGGAAGTGATGGTTTTGCTGACATTTCTCAGACATCTTCTGGTTTTGCCTTACCTCCTGTTACCTTCCTTTCTGTTTCCGGGTTCAAGTACCAATCATGTCTGTGTTCAAATGGGCAAATCGGTTATGCAGTTCCAAGATATAGCCTTTGGAGTTGAATCGAGATGTAGCATTCCACATTCGCGGAACGTCCTAGATGAGCAGATAGACCGCACAATTTTTCTCTGATGTTTCCGCTGATGAAATACGAGGATTATGCTTCATTGAAGTGCCCATATATCCAGTTCATCTCATCGAGTAACAACCTTACTTGTCTGAAAAACCTGCAGATCTCTTGGAATGTGCGGGAAGTGCGGAAATCTCAAGGTGGTAGCATGTGGAAGCTGCAAAGGGACAGGATCGATCAAACCGGGAGGACCCTTTGGTTTCAACCTTATAAGTGACGCATCATCCGACACAAACTCGGCAGCCTGCAACAAGTGCAAAGCCAAGGGCTGTTTCCCGTGCCCCGAGTGCTCAAAAGCTTGATTCAGATGTGAACAAATCTCTCTAGTATGTTACGAAACTCGGTATTATCTTTCTGTTCCACGTTGTTCGAAGAAATCTCTACTGTGTGTTACAGACTCCTAACCTTTGATCAAAGCGTTAATGGGAACGTTCCTTATGCATCTCAAGAAATTCAGCCGTTCAAACTCTTTGTTGAATGCCTTGTGAGTTTCTACCGGTTTAACCCAGAAGGGGAAATTATCCGGTTTTGGTTTAACCGGGCTGGATTGGGGTTGTTGGTTTGATCCGGTTTGTGCAGATCAAACCATCTGACAACAGCACGATGAAAAGCCGAGGTTCCCCTTCAGAAATCCATATGATCTTTATGCTCTGAGCGAAAGCACATGAACATCAATCCTTTTCGTCACGAGATTCTTACAGATCCAATCAGAGACTTTCATTTTCTGGTGTTTGGAAGCTCTGGTCCTGTCGTACCTGTTATATTCCGACAGCCACGTAATGCTTATATTGTGAATTTATGATAATGCAATTTTATGCTATTTAAATTAGATTAATAATAATAATGGTAATTCAACAATAATAATAATAATAATAATAATAATAAACAGAGGAAGGGGCAAAAGCCGTAAATTCTCTATGGACAAAATCTATGGCTGATGAAGCACGCCTCCGACAAAAGTCAACAAATGAGAACTCGACACGTGGCTGTCAGTCTCAGCCGGCCATCATCACTTCTGTTCTGAAACCCTTCTGCTCCTTTGTTACGTAATTTCACTGTTCAGATTTTTTTGTGGGTGACATTGTACGGACATCCTACGTCACCTGAACAATTTATCTGGTAGATGCGCTTGCCCTAAACGCTTCGTTCTAAATCGCAAGATCCGTATATTTCTATTACAAAATAAAAATTGTTATATTGAAATAATTAATGATCCATTAAGATGCTACGTGGCCGTTCAAGAACCTAAACATTCGATGCATTGGGTGTTGTATATTTTATTGGAGGAACATCAGTGGCGTTATTTAAAAGTGCCTAATCGAACCAGACCAAGGTGGGTCCATAAATAATTTGATGCAATTCACATTTACGTACCATCCATTGGAGCGGCTCCTGGTTAAAAAGATGCGCTATCACATTTACGATGGTTATTCCACTAGTTATATGTAAATATGTAATTCTATTTTATACCAAACAAAATATGTAATTCTACAACAGCTTGGAAACCCTAGCTTTAGATATTTATAACGATCTCTCTCTCTCTCTATATATATATATATATATTTTTCAGGAACAGCTTTTCATAGGGCTAGGCGTTTCGGTTCGGTTCTTCGGAACCGGACCGAACCAAACCGTTAAAACGGTATTTTTCTCGATCTGAAACCGCTGTTATTTTTCAGCGGTACCATTTTTAGAGAACCCAATATTTTTAAAAAAAATCTATCATTTTTTTAATAAAACCCGGAATCGAACTGAACCGATACCGAAACCGAACCGATACCGAAACCGAATACAATAAAAAAAAACCCGATTGGTACCTATTTTTGTAAAATTCAAAGAACCGAACCGATTCATATTCCGTCCCGAACCCGAACCGTTTTCCGAAACGCCCACCCCTAGCTTTTCAACTAAATATTGGTAATTGTTTCTTATCTAGCCAGTATCAAAAGTCATGTATATTTTCAGTGTAACAAATATGTTGTTTTTGTGAATATTTTGTATTGAAAAAAAAATACATTGAATAATTATGTGCAAGTAGACAAATCGTGGGCAATCGCTGTTATCACCTTTGTTTAAAATCATAAAAGGTGAGAATTTGAATAACCATTTAGCATGGTTAATTATATTTCATCTAAAAAAAAGTATTTTATAGCTAGGTGGATCTACATATAATGTATTAACATGTTTTTATTTTATTTTTAGATCAAGAAACTCTTATCGATATGGATATATAACTTTCTCGAATAGGCCCAAAAAATTAAGGTCGTGAATTACAACTTTACTAGGTTTTTTATTTTATAAGCCATGATTTGCCCTTAGATGGACGTGTTTAGTTCCAATAACTCTTCAAAGCAATTACCAATCTCAGGAAAGAAACAGAAATTTCTATTTCAAGAACAACATTTTTCGATCCAAGTTTTCTAAGTGTCGAGCAAAATTTCTATTTTTTATTATTATTGGAAGAAAAGAGGTTTATCTATTCACGAATAAATTGTAAAACAAACCCAATTAACTACGTTTATTTGCATATATATATATATATATAGAGTCTAATTTCTCATGATATTTTAACTATATGAAAATATGTAATAACGCTACGTAAACATATGCGGGAAATTTCTCCAATCTTACGTGTAACCCAAAGCTTGCCCAAAATTAATTAATGATGACTTGAGATAATTATAATAGTCTATTTTATGGAAATTTTCTTTTGATATAAATATAATTTTATGAATGTAGGATGCATTTCGTCACCAACAGTCCAAGTTGTCAAGTTACGCATCGGTTGTTTTTAATTATTTAATCTGTATTGAATTTTTGTTTTCTTGTTTTAGGTTTTTCGGGTTACACAATATGGGAAATTAATGAATGCTAAGAAAAATTATGTTTTCGTATTTTTCTAAAATGGAAAGTGGAATAAAAAAAACGAAGGACCAATAGGAAGGGGACACGTAAAGATCCATTTTAAGGTAAATAATGAATGCTAAGAAAATGATGATAGATAGATGCTTTCATTTATTGTAGAAACATATATATGTGTTCACATCCTCACGCGCTTTATATCTACCCCATGCACTTATGTTTTTTCCATTCTTTTGCAAAAATATTGTTCAAACATTAATGAAATATAATTTGCTCCTCGCTAAAAGAAAAGGGATGTAAAATTTTATTTTTAATTTGTTGAAAAAATTACCAACTATATATATATATGATACAAAGTCCTGTAATGTTTGTGTATTTATGGATTCATTAAAATGACGGATATATAAATTTTTTAATTATTTTTTTTCAGTATCATCCTGTTTATCATTTTGGCAGAAACGTTTCTTGCCAAAATAATCTGTTTTAAAAGTTACTTTGTAAATTTGTTTGGTAAATATAATTTACATCTCGCTAACAAAAAGGTATAATTGGGGTTTGGGTCACACGCGCCAGAGAGAGAGAGTGTAGATGGCATTTTATGAGAGAGAAGGGAAAAAGAGTAAAGAAGCGTAGAGAGAGATGTCTGAATGAACCACACCAGATATATCACCAAACCCTAACCCTCACCTCCCACAAATTTCTTCGTCTTCATCTTTATCCTGCCTTAGTCTCTGGATTCACAACCTAAAAGGACGAAAGAGAGAAAAAGATTCATTAACCCTAGAAGAAGAAACCGATTCCCAGAAAAAAGCTACAGTTCCCTCTTCTTCCTCCTCTCCATTTCTCTCTCTTGTTCTTGCTAGGGTTCTTTTTTCATACCCATATCTACCTTTTCTTAAACCTTGATTCGATTTTACAGACACACCCATCTCAAAAAAACACGAAAAGCTCAGATCTTTCCTCATAAAAGAGATACCCAACTCGTGTTTTGTGTCTGTACATACAAAAACACGCATCCTACACCCATATTTGTATACATACATATAAGTGGAAACTTGTGGTATAACAAAAATGGGGAGGGGTAGGGTTGAGCTGAAGAGGATAGAGAACAAGATCAACAGACAAGTGACCTTCGCTAAGCGTCGAAACGGTCTGTTGAAGAAAGCTTATGAACTCTCTGTCCTTTGCGATGCCGAGGTTGCTCTCATCATCTTCTCCAACCGCGGCAAGCTCTACGAGTTCTGCAGCTCCCCCAAGTATGTATATATATATATCCGATCTCTCTCCTTTCTCTCTCTGTATATATCTATCTGTGTGTATTACATGCATATGTGCGTGTTCATGCATCTATTTTTTGTGGAAATTTTCGCTATTTGTTAGATCCGTTCACAGATCTCTCATCTAACGGTTTGATGTTTTCTTTGAAACCAAGATTTGTTCACTACATGTTTTATTCATTCTTTTCTGAAATTGGAATCATGACGGGTTTCCTGATTCCTTGATTGTTTCTACAGAGACAACACTGGGTTTGGTTTTTGTTTCTTGTCTCTAACATTCAACAAAGCTCCGATCTTTATAGTTTCTAAAGTTTCTTAGACTCTGAGATCTGATCCCTTCTCATGAACTTTCAGTTTTCCCCTGTTGCATCTTGGGATCATTCATTTAACTTGCTCATATTCTCCTTAGTTTTCGTTGTTCAAAGGGATGAATTCTTCAGTCAATAGAAATGGCGCACTTTCTCAAATTAGAGCCAAAGCCATATGTCCAAATAAAGTGCCATAGTCATACATATGTATGTATATATTCACGTTCGTATATGCTTGTATGTATATCTGTTGTGTTTTGATAGGAAAGATAGAGACACGGATCTCAATAAGATATAAGGACCCAACGTAGAAAATTGCGGTTCCATGCATTAACCAGATCTCTCGCCTCATGCATATTTAATTAATTTTAAGCACCGAGAAAAGCTGAGATCAAGAAAACTACCAAGTCATGATCCATATGTAAAACTGAATTCACATTTGATAAGACAACACTTGATTTTTTGGAGACATAACACTAAAGCATTAAGCTCTTTCTTGTCTCCCCATAACATTAATTAAGCTCCGCCGTTGTGTATATATCTATATGTACATGTTTGTATATTTTCCTGCAGAATGTTTGATGATACGTGAGTCTCGCCCCTTTTTGTACATATGTACTTGTTCTTATAGCCTTTACATATGTGTAAACGCATCATCATCATCACTGCACGTCTTGTTTCTTGCCTCTGAAGATAGGGTTTCCATTAAAACATGCATGCTGTTCAACGATTCCTCCCACATCTAGGGTTTTCTCATTGAACAAATCCTGTTTGAAAGTCCATATATGTTTTTTCAACTCTTTCCTTGATCTTCCGTGTGATTCTTCAGCATGCTCAAGACACTTGAACGGTACCAGAAGTGCAGCTATGGCTCCATTGAAGTGAACAACAAACCTGCCAAAGAACTCGAGGTTTGAGAATCTTTCTCAGATTTTTAGAAAACCCCTTTAAAGAATGAACCTTTCACTTCAAAAGTTTCCTCTTTTTTCTACATTTTCACAGCCGAAATTAATCAATCTTCCGACAAATTTGAAATCTCTTATGTCTGTTGGCATTTCAGAACAGCTACAGGGAGTATCTGAAGCTAAAGTCCAGGTTTGAGGGTCTGCAACGTCAACAGAGGTATATATATAATATAAGCGAGTTTATATATGCATGCATTTAACTGTTATGCATATTTGTATGTAGTTTACACGTGCTTACGTATATATACATGTATATATATGTATGTATGTAATGGAATGCAGAAATCTCCTTGGAGAGGATTTGGGGCCTCTGAACTCAAAAGAGCTTGAGCAGATTGAACGTCAACTAGACGGCTCTCTTAAGCAAGTTCGCTCCATCAAGGTAATTTCCATATATAATCTCTAAAATTGAAATCTTTTCATTTGATTCTGATTCTGCTGGCTTTAGAATGATGAAACATACGTTGATTGTGCTTTGGCGACCAGATCAAGATTCGAGAATAGATATGAACATTTGTAAAACACTTCAGATGTGTCCTTATTAAGATTGTTGCAATGATTTATTGCAGACACAGTACATGATCGACCAGCTTTCTGAGCTCCAAAGCAGGGAACAGATGTTGCTTGAAGCCAATAGAGCCCTTTCAATGAAGGTATATATAAAAAAGACAGTCAATAGTTATATATATATATATACCGATCATGGCACAAGTCGGTTGATTCGGATTGATCTTCCGAACTTCTACACTTATTTCTATCACACATTTTGCAGTCTTCATTTGGGATCTTTTAACGCTCTGATGAGTATATGAAACTGTCCTAAAAGCCTATTCTGTGTTGCATCTTCAAGAATCAAAGCTTAGGTTGCAACATCAGCTCATCTCATTCCATCAAGAATAAGGAAAAAAGTTGCAGCATGTGGCATTGTGCTATGGCATTCTCATATAAATGATTATGAACTATGCTTCTGCACAAGAAATTTTTAATACGTCCAACACTCCAATACACCATAATATATAGACGGATATCATATTCATGGAATACGATTTAGCATATGTATTATGGCGGTGTGTATTTCACAGCTGGATGAGATGGTTGGAGCACGAACTCATCACATTGGAGGGGGGTGGGAAGGGAGTGAGCAGAACGTGACGTATGGGCACCAGCCTCAGCCTCAGGGGCTGTTCCAGCCTCTTGAATGCAATCCGACTTTGCAAATCGGGTACCCAAATCATTCATTTTCTTTCTTAAACCGTTACAAGCTTTTATATATGGAGTAGGCACTAACAGTGTCATTGTTGTATAAGGGTTTTCATGAAGCATCAAACTACCCCATATGGAGTAGGCACTAACAGTGTCATTGTTGTATAAGGGTTTTCATGAAGCATCAAACTACCCCATAGAACTATGTTGGCTGTGCTGCTTGAATATGAACTTAATATCTAAAAGAGGGAAACTTGTCAAAATCCTAGGAGTTGGTTTGATTTCAGGTTTTGATCAGACATAAACTCGCTTTATCTACTATACTGTCAACATCTTTGGTTCAGATTTTTCACAAGATATATTACCATTAGAGATACCATAGTTGTGCTCTATACTGTGTATGCAAATGCTCCATAGTTTTCTACTGCAGTAACCCCAGAATCTGTTCATGTTGTGGTGGTAAAATGGACAGATACAATAACCCAGAATGCCCAGAGCAGATGACTGCAACAACACAAGCCCCTGCGCAAGCAGGAAATGGTTACATCCCCGGTTGGATGCTCTGAGGCATCTGAAGGCCTGGAGGCAAGAGAGAAAGTAGGAAACTTGGCATTGTATGTAAAATGACTGTCCCAAGCTCATAAACATTGGCTTTAAGTATATATATATGCATAAGTCTGGATTTGTAGACATAAAGTGGCTGTTGTATGTAGCCTAAGACCTCTCTCTGTTGTTTCAGGACATGTCCTTTTGTGACCAGCTTTTTATTATTATATATGGATTGAAATGTGTGAGCTCTCAGCTCTTGTGAACTTGTCAGCATTTTCCCAGACAGAGGTTCTAGTTTATCCAGAATGTTAATGTTTTCCAAACAGGACCACGTTGAATTACCACAAGAAACATTGCAACAAATACAAAGTCTTTTTCTGGTTCCTTCTTGTGTGTGTGTGTGTGTGTGTGTGTGTGTGTGTGTTTGGTTTCTTGGGGGTGCCTCATAAGGTAACTGTGCAGAAAAACATTTACCAGTGGCAAAGAACAATATTCACAAACAATGCAAATGTACACATCCCTGCATTATCTCCCCGGTTTCCCATGAGAAAGAGGTCTGATAATCATGGCGTTTCATTGAATTCCATCACCTGCAAAAGACAAATTCTCAGAACAGTAAAAGACATTCTGGTCGGAAGATGAACTGTTTTATGTTTCAGGAAGAGTTTGAGCTCTCGCAGCAACTGTTTTTTTCTTGTTTGCCCAACAGATTGCACATTTTGTTTTGTAGAACATACAGTTTTTGTTCTGTGTGGAAACATGCACACAAGTTCATGGTAAATTAAAACGCTTTCTCTTTATAACATCAATTGTCTTGATGATGATGATGATGATCACGGACTTTCTTACTCATGTTGTTTCTTAATGATGGAAAGAAAGAGAATCCCCCAAGGAATGAGAAGAAAATTGCAGCAGAGGTACCAAAGGAAGCCATGGCAGGACATGCAAAAACCAATGGAAAAATCGCGCAGAGACGTTGGAGAAGAGAATTGTTACCTTTCCGCACACAGGACAGTTTTCGCTTCTCTCCATCCACTCGTAAATGCAGGCGAGGTGGAAATGGTGAAAACACTTGGTAACAATCTTGGGGTTTTCCAATGTATATTCTGCATCCAAAAATGAATACACTTTCACACCTAAACACATAGCTTTTGGAATTTCATATATATGAGTCTGATACAAACACCAAGAGATCTTTTCTCATGTAAAGTATAAAATTTGGCCTAAAGAAGGAAGAGGAACATCGTAAAAGAAACATGCACTGACTATGATGTGAACTAAAATCGTATATTGTTTACCTTCAAGACACGTCGGGCAGACATCTTCGTCTTCAGACAATATATACATGCTCTCATTACCAGCCATTGTCTTTGACTGCAAGATCCTCATCGTGGATTTAGAGTACTCTTCTTTGGAATCGTCTTCAGGAACGGACTTCCTACTGGCCCATTTGCATCCTCCCATGCCAAAAGACTCAGAATCCACATCATTATCGCTTCTTAAGGGTTCAGATTCCTCATGGGAATGACTAGAACCCTTTTCACGTCTTGAGACAAGTGAATCACGTGGTGACCGGAAGTATCTAGGATCAGCATCATAAGGCAGAGGCCTTGGAGTAGAACGGAATGTATCATTCTGAAAGTTATCATGTGAGGCAGTGGAAGTTATTGTTGCAGTGGCTTGATGGGAGGACGAGAGTGAACGGGTTTCCCCTCTTCTGAATAATGCGATGTACTGCCAATGTATGTGTTTCAAATCAATGAATAAGTAACCAAGAATGGAACTAAACCCAACATTGCCATCATTGACAATGACCAGTTCATATCCATGGATTAGTCCAAAGCAATTTCAGAAGGCTGATCATGAACATACCAGGTTTAGGAAATTATGAACGAGGCACCTAAGGCAAGGGCAGTTCCTATATACAGAGCTACTTGGATTCCTGTACTCGTCAAAATCCTCGACCCGAAAACAAGAACAAACAGCACCCATCCTCTTCCTCCCAACTCTTCTCTCCTTAATAATACTTCATTGGCTCAAATCCAATCCTCCAAAGTCATATCCGCATTACCAAGATTCACCAAAAACTCCTCAATCCTCTCCAATAGATACTCTGACCTTTCTATTCACAGAAGTCTCATGCCCCTGAGTTTTGGTGAAAACAGCTGCTTCATATTCTCCAGGTCACCTGAAGGCTGAAGGTAACATGAACATTTCCTGAATAACTAGAAGCAGTAAAAGATATCGTAATGATCTTGGGAAACAGACAGGCAGAGATAATCTGATCACTGTTCAAGCCAAGACTTTTCAATACATTCTAACTCATCAGAGAAAACCAAAACCCAATTCAGCTGAAATGCCAAGTTTCAATCTAAAACTCAAATGCTGACACACAACACAAAGGGGGAGATGACCAGAAATAAACATTACAGAGTAACTGAAGCAATTATAGAATCATTAGCCACCAAACTCATCGGCAAAACTTGAGGCTTCATTTGGGGAAATCGAACTGGCAAAGCGAAATGCATGCAATTAACCAATTGAAACCTAAATTAGGTAAATTTCGAACGAACACAAACGGGAGAAAAAAAAGGTTAAAACTTGTTCCGACAGGAGAAAGAGACAAAACCCACTTGAGATCAGACAAAACCCATTCCGATTAGAGTAAACAGAAGGTATCAAGGTCAAAAGCGCTCCGCAATCCGACCAGGAAAAGGATAAACAAACGCGACCATCGAGAACATGATCGAAATATCATCTGAGATCATTCCAATCGGAATCGATCAGAACCCATCTCCAGTACTTTCCAAAGGATGAAAATTTAAGAAAAAAACAGAAGGATCGG